ATGTGTGTAGATTCTCTTTTTTTCTTAATAAGTCTGCCTAGGGGTTTATCTATTTTGTTTATTTTCTCAAAGAACCAGCTCTTGGTTTCATTGATTTTTTTCTATTGTTTTATTCTTCTCAATTTTATTTATTTCTTCTCTGATCTTTATTATGTCCCTCCTTCTGCTGACTTTGGGCCTCATTTGTTCTTCCTTTTCCAGTTTCAATACTTGGGACTTTAGAGTATTCATTTGGGACTGTTCTTTCTTCTTAAATAGGCCTGGGTTGCTATATGCTTTCCTCTTAGAACTGCCTTTGCTGCATCCCACAGAAGTTGGGGCTTTGTGCTTTTATTGTCATTTGTCTCCATATATTTGCTTGATGTATGTTTTAATTTGGTCATTGATCCATTGATTATTTAGGAGCATGTTGTTAAGCCTCCATGTGTTTGTGAACCTTTTTGTTTCCTTTGTACAATTTATTTCTAGTTTTATACCTTTGTGATCTGAGAAGTTAGTTTGTAGAATTTCATTCTGTTGAATTTACTGAGGTTCTTTTTGTGGTCTAGTATGTAGTCTATTCTGGAAAATGTTCAATGTGCACTTGAGAAGAATGTGTATCCTGCTGCTTTTGGGTGTAGAGTTCTGTAGATGTCTGTTAGCTCCATCTGTTCTAGTGTTTTGTTCAGTGCCTCTGTGTCCTTACTTATTTTCTGTCTGGTTGATCTGTCTTTTGGAGTGAGTTGTGTATTGAAGTCTCCTAAAATGAGACTTCTGTTAGTATTTGTTTCACATATGTCGGTGCTCCTATATTGGGTGCATGTATATTTATAATGGTTATATCCTCTTGTTGGACTGCCTCCTTTATCATTATGTAATGTCCTTTTTTATCTCTTGTGACTTTCTTTGTTTTGAAGTCTATTTCGTCCGATACAAGTACTGCAACTCCTGCTTTTTTCTCCCTATTGTTTGCATGAAATATCTTTTTCCGTCCTTTCACTTTTAGTCTGGATATATCTTTGGGTTTGAGGTGAGTCTCTTGTAAGCAGCATAGAGATGGGTGTTGCTTTTTTATCCATTCATTTACTCTGTGTCTTTTGATTGGTCATTCAGTGTCTTTACATTTAGGGTGATTATCGATAGATATGTACTTATTGCCATTGCAGACTTTAGATTCATGGTTACCAAACGTTCAAAGTTAGCATCTTTACTATCTAACCGTCTAACTTAACTCTCTTATTAAGCTATTATAAACACAGTCTGA